GGGGAGACTGGATCACAGGATTTAGTGTTACAGCTCAAGGCAAGTGACTCAGCTCAGATCTCAGTGATTCAGCTCCAGCTCCAACTTTATTGGGGTAAAACTAGGACTATTTATAGTGTAGAGACAGCAGAAGAAGCCTTAGCTGATAGGTACTTTTAGGATGCCTCATTTACATAGGGCGGTGGGCTTCTATCAGGCTATCAGACAATGCCTGATTAAAAACCTGGTAGCTCCTGTGCTGGAGGGCATGTATTTGTGGTGAGCACTTTAAAAGAAGAGTCAGGGAGGATGCCAGGAAGGCACTCTGCTATGAAGGAATCTGCAGCACATGGTTTCCAAGCTCGTGAGCTATCCGGATGTGAAGAGACTTCTACTTGCATAACAGAGAACCCCAACAATGCTGGGCCTCTTCATTTTATTAAGAATCTGATCTGAAAATTCTGAACTTAGGACTTGGCAAATAAGAGGGAAAATAACAGGAAAACCAAGATGACAGAGCCAGGGTGACCGAGCAGCACTGGCCTGGCCACCAACACACATGGCACACAGGCAAGAGGGAGCTGGCCTGCCCGCCCATGCGCCCCAATGGCACCCATGGTTGGCTGACCATCATCATCACCCAGTGGCTGTCAGAACCTGGCTGTAGTCCTTGACATTAAGAATCTGTGACATCTACAGATTTTAGAAAACAAACTAGAGGACACTGGTGTAAAGCTGTCTGTCATGTGACGCTGTGAAATCCCCCAGCTGCCACTCAGAGCATCTTGGGTTGGAGGCCTGTGAGCTAACGCTGCCTGCTGTGAGGATCCAGTTTCTGCTTTCATCCACAGTAAAGGCCTGTGGGGAATCAACCTGTTGGAGATGCCTTGGTCCACAGTGGGGTCACTGTGCTGAGGGAGGCCAGGAAACAGGCAAAGTGTAACCTGCATGCAAGCGCTGTGAACAACGAACTTTGATGAAGGAAACTAACCGTTTCCAACCGCTGAGAAAAAGAGAAATCCCTACTTGACATTCCTAAACAGTGTGTAAGAGAAGCAGAAATTAAGAGTGAAAATCCCACTCCAGGAAACCTGGGTGCTTCTTGACCCAGAACCTTGTACAAAGGAAAGGGAGTGGGCCTTTGGCCCATCTTGTGGAAGAACCACAGATCACTGACTCTAATGAAATATGACTTCTCTAGCACCCAGCTCAAGCTGTTATGATGGATGGGTGTTTTTCATTTGCTAATAGAAGACAAGAAGTCAGGGGTGGGATGGGGGATTGGGGGTGGTACAGTGAGGGTAGAGATGGGGAGGAGGCCTCAACATAATCAAAATTCATTATATGAAATTCTTGAATCAATAAAATTTCTCTTAAACTAACAAAACAAAACAATTTTCCAAACTTAACAGCATTCATCTTAGGAATAAACAGTTCAATAACATCAATCTATTGATCTACAATAGGTTTAATAAAAAACGGCAAATGAACTCTTCAAGTTGATACAATTCAAAACTTATGCCTAATATTTTTTTAAAAATAAAGGATATTCTTAACATAAGCCCCCAAAACATGTTATGTGCATTAATGTAAATAATCTGACTTTTAAAAATTCAAATTAAATCAAGAGAAAAAAGTTGTCTCTGTCTTTCTAAAATATAAACTTGAATATACACAAAATATAAATGTCTATATTTATGAAATATGTAGAAAATCACAAAACATGGTGCAGGAAATAGCTCATAAACTATACTGATTGTTAGCCACTTAAGACGTTAAAATAAGTGGGACCAAGACTTTTCTTTCTTGTGGCTAAAGGAAGACCGACCAGATGAGAAAGGGAAACGAACTGAGCTTGCTGCAGCACAGAGTAAGTTAGCATCTCTTGTGTTGTGGCAGAGACTCAAACAGGTTCGAGGAGAGCAAAGCTTTATAATGGAAAAGAGAGGAGGCTCAGCTATGACGTAGCAGGAAGGCTCCTGGAGAAGCAGCTGGGTTAGTCACAAGAGAGGGAGGGAGTGGCAGCTACTGTGACAGGAAATAAGGTGCCTCTCTGGTTGGTCCTAAGATGTAAGCAGGACAAAAATTAAGAAGTTGGCAGTTATTAATAAAGTTCTGGCTATTTTAAGCCAACTGTTATGCAAGTTATTATTTAGCTTTCTGGTCAGGTCACAGTTCATTTATAAATCTGGTCTCTCACCTTGACCCTCATGCGCACCTCTCTATAGTAACACCACAGATGGCAAAAAATTTATAAGCTTAACTCAAATATAAGAGTTTCTACACTCTTAAAAGTTAAACATAAAGGAAAAATGGCTACAAGGAAAAAGAGTATAGAACACTACAGCTGCCTTCCCTTAAGATGGCTTGGTGGGTAAAGGCGCCTGTGGCCAAGCCTGGGTTTCATCCCCAGGGCTAACATGGTGGAAGGAGAAAACCGACCCCCGGGTTGGACTCCGACCGCCACACACGTGCTGTGACCCATATTACACATCCACAAAATAAAAAATGTAATGGAAAATTTAAATAAAAAGAACACTGAATAGCAATCAGCAAATCAAGGTGCAGAGAACTGAGTGTGGTCAGGAGGTTCCCAGCTACTTCCTAGACTGGAACCTCACAACAAGGAAGGACCAGATGTGATGAAAGCCCAGATGCACACTTGACGGACGCAGACTTCATCTTGGATTCTACTTTGAGTTCAGTATGAGGCAGCTCAAATACTGCTGAGCAAGGTTGGCCATAAGCTGATTAGTCAGGGTTTAATGACAGAACTGGCAAGACAGACTCCGTTCCTTCCTTCCTTTATTCAACAATCACTGAGGTTCCTGACAGGGAAATAAGATGCTATTACCAGAAATGAGGAGCAGGTACAGAGAGATCCTGGGATATTCCCAGCAAGCACCTCTGAGGCATCTGCTTGGAAAAGATCAAAACAGCAAGGCCAGGCCTGGCGGTGCAAACGTATAATCTCAGAACTCAGGAGGCTGTCTTAGGGAGACTGCTGAGTTTGAGGCCAGTCTGGGCTAGTGAGCACAGGCTAGCCAGGGCGGCACAACAAGGTAGTCCAACAAACAAAACCTCAGAACACAGTAAGACTTATTACTTATGGAACTCAAACTTCTTGTTTTTGTTTTCTGTTTTTTAGCGTCTCTTTAGAAGAAATACACGGAATTTATTATCCTGTCCTTTCTTAGAAAAATCAAGCAATAAAAAAAAAAATCAAGCAATAAAGAACGGTGTGGTTTCCTGATGAAACACTAGAACAAAGTACTTAAGCAAAAAAAAATCTGAAATAAATTGTAATTCCTATCACTAAACAATATATTGGTATTCCGTCATTACTTTCTATTAATGTGGTTAAAAAAACCAAAAACCAAAAAACCCAAAACAAAATAAGATAAAACCACACAAAAACCCTGACCAAAAGCAACTTGGGGAAGAAAGGGTTATTACATCTTACATCCTGAGCGACAGTCCGTCACAGAGGAAAGTCAAGGTGGGGCTCCAGGCAGGAGCTGCCTCAGCGATCATGGGGATGCTGCTTACCAGCCTGCTTCCTCTGGCTTGCTCAGCTATTTGTCTTAAACAGCCTAGACCCACCTGCCCAAGGATGGTACTGCCTATAGTGGACTGTACCCACTGTGCAATTAAGAAAATGCCTTACAGACCAACCCATGGAGGCACTCCTCAACTGACGTTCCCTCTTCCTAGGTGACT